GCTGTTGACAAACGAGGAGGATAAATGAGTGGAACAGATAATGAGCATGCTTAAATCAAATTAAAGGAAATGTTATTGCTAATAAAGGAGTGATCTCAATGTGTAAAATGATATAATTAATAGCTGTGGATAGTCAAAACTGGGTTGGCTTTGCTGAAAGTGAACCCACGCAATCAAAACACAAGGCAGTGGAGTTTGAAATGGAAGACAGTGTTTGTTCTAAAATTGTTGATCTCAAATGTTGAATTCTGAAGGCTGTAAAGTGCTTAGGGAGAAAATGAGGTGCTGTCCCTCCAGTTTGCATTGGGCTTCAGTGGAACTCTACAGCAGGCCAAGGATGGAAATGTTGGCGTGGGAATAAGAGGGTGTATTGAAACAACAAGCAACTGGAAGTAGTGCTAGGAATTGCAGCGGTGGTCTAGGGTGTCCTGGAAGGAATGATCTCTGCGAACTGTTATTAATATAAGGAAGGTGAAGATGTGCTAAGTGGTGGCATCTAGCTGGAGGTTGTAAAAATGGCAGAAGCCAATCCTATGAATGCAGACACTGACAGGATGGGAAAGTGAGGACTAGGCGAATCCTATTGTGACGTATGGGGAAAAGAGTGAGGGCAGATGTCAAACAGGGAGGGAGGGCTGCTGTTTGTGGCTGTTTTGAAACAGTGCAGATACAAGCAGCTAGTCCAAGTGTATGTTAGTAAGTCCGGTCCTGTACTTGTTGCTTATAAACTTTAATGCACTGAAATTGCGCTGTGTAGATACATAGACCCCAAAGGAGAGAATCCTTTCTCCATAGGAGAATAGAGAAGCATATTGCTGTTGTAGAAATGTCTAAAATTTTAGCTTTCTTTTGGAACATTCCTTCCCTTGTTTAGATTTTGTGCAAGTCAGTCTTTTTTTTAATCTCTTAGTAGCCAAGACTATGTGATTCTGACACTTCATTGGTAAAATTATGTATGGATTTTCAATAAGTTAAAAAAGGTAAACCCTTCTTTCTGTGTGGAAGAGAAATGAAAACAGAGTTTGTGCTAAGGATAGCGCACACGCCAGTAAAAAATCTACAATTTTGGCCCAGTTAAATCTAATTTGTTTTCAAACAACATTTCACAATATAATTTTGACAACCAATCAAAATGAAATAATTATAGCATAGCTAGCCATTTGAATAAATTATTTACCTTGTGCCAGTGCCCTACCATAGCTCTGCAAATCTTTTTGAAGAATCTGTTTCAATTTTTCTTGCAGCTGTTTGAGAAAGCAGCTTATCGCCCCCACCTTGAGGGCAATTAGGGATTGTCAATAAATGCTGGCCTGGCCAGGGAAGTCTACGTCGCTTGTATAATTTTTTGTTTTAAAAAAGAAATTCCTGTTTCCACTGCACTCATAGGGTATTATAGATCTGACCACTCATTGTGCAGAAAGAGAGAACCCTTTTTAGGATAGGAGAATAGTGAAACATGTTGCTGTCCTGGAATAATGCCCGAAAGAGTTATTTCCCCTTTTTATCTCATTTTTCCTTACTGACAGAATCACATTAGTTACTGTTCAGAAGGAGATCACTCAGCCCATCATATCTGTACCAATTTTCCAAATAAGTAATTCATTATGTGCCATTCTTTCTCCTCTCCATAACTGTGTATACATTGTTCCCTTTTCAGATAACAGCCTTCTGAATTGTTTTGAGTTGAACCTGCCTTGACCACAGCCTGTGAGAGTGCATTCCAGACGCTGACCATTTTGATGTCTGAAATTTGTTTTTCTTGTTACTTTTGCGGAGGACCTTGCAGAAATATTTGCATCATCTACAACTACAGGTGAGGTGCCGGATGGCTGGAGGATGGCTAAGTTGTGCCTTTAAGAAGGGTTGTAAGGAGAAACCAGGGAATTAATAGTCCCAAGTCTGACTTCAGTTGTGGGTAAGTTGTTGGTGATTCCAAAAGATAGGATTTATAAACATTTAGGGATAGTCGGCATAGTTTTGTATAAGGGAAAATTCTGTCCCACAAACTTGATTGAGTTTTGTTTTTGAAAAAGTTACCACAACGATTGAGGGCGAGCAGTAGACGTTTACTTGGATGGACTTCGGTAAAGCCTTTGACAAGGTCCTGCATGGTAGACTAGTTAAAGTTGGTTCACGTGGGATTCGGGATGAGCTTGCCAATTAAATACATAATTGGCTTAACAGCAGGAGTCCATGGCGGTAGAAGGTTGCTTTTGGGACTAGAGGCTTGTCACCAGTATTTTCCACAGGGATCAGTTCTGAGTCCTCTTCTGTCATTTATATAGTTGATTTGGACGAGAATGTGATGCCTGGTTAGTAAGTTTGTCGATAACACTAAACTTGGTGGCACAGTAGACGGTGAAGAATGTTTTCTAAGATTACAAAGGGATCTTGATCAAATGGGTCAATGGGCTGAAAAATGGCAGAGTTTGGATAAATGAGAGGTATTATAATTTGGTACAGCAAATGGGCAGAATTTATACACTTAATGGTAAGACCTTGGTTAGTGTAGAGGGACCCAGGGGTTCAGGTACATAATCTTTAAAGCTTGCATCACATATAGACAGTAGTTTTGTGTTCATTTCTGGTCGCTCTGTTATAGGAAGGGTATTATTAGAGGGTTCAGAAGAGATTTACCAGGTTGTTGCCAGTTATGGGAAGTAAAGATAGGCTGGGACATTTTTTTACTGGAACATAGGAGGAGGTTGAGAGGTAGCCTTAGAGGTTTATAAAATCGTGAGGGGTATGGATAGGACATCTTTTCATTAAGATGGGGGATTTCAAGACTAGGGGGTACATTTTTAAATCTCTCTGTCTCTCTCCTGTCACCTTAAAGACATGAGGACAAAATTTTTCCACAGAGGGTGGTTAATGAGTGGATTTGGATAAGTACATGAGTAGGAAAGTTTTGGAGGGATATTGGCCAGGAGCAGGCAGGTGGGGACTAGTTTAGTTTGGGATTACGTTTGGCATGGACTGGTTGGACTGAAGGGTCTGTTTCTGTACTGACTCTGTGTATCATGTGGTTCTTAATCCTGCTAACAATGAGAACAGTTTTTCCCAATCTAACTGTTTCCAGATACTGAATCCCTTTTTTCTCTCTTTCTCTCCCCTCTCTCAATCTTTTCTTCTCCAAAGTGAATGGTGTCAAGTTCTCTGAACTGTCCATGTTATTGGTTCCAAAAATGAAGAATTTTATTAATGTGAATCTTTGCTCTGCACCCTTGCTGATGCCTACATGTCCTTCCTAAAGTGGTGCTGGAGATGGGTAGTACTCCAGGTGAGGCTGAACTAGTGTTTTATACAAGTTTAACGTATCTTCCTTGTTTTCAAGGAACAAAGAACAGTACAGGAGCAGGCCCTTCGGCCTACCAAGACAATGGCAACATATGCTTTTCTAAACTAAAACCCGTGTCTCTATGTGGTCCATATTCCTTCTATTGCCTGACTGTCCATATATCTGTGAAAATGCCTCTTAAGCATTACTATTATGTCTGCTGCCTTCACCACCACCTCTGGCTGTGCATTCTTAAAAAAAAACTTGGCTATCACAGATAGTAGGAACTGCAGATGCTGGAGAATCCGAGACAACAAGGTGCAGAGCTGGATGAACACAGCAGGCCAAGCAGCATCATAAGAGCAGAAAGGCTGACGTTTCGGGCCTAGACCCTTCATCAGAAATGGGGGAGGGGAAGGGGGTTCTGAAATAAATAGGGGGAGGCGGATAGAAGATGGATAGAGGAGAGGAAACAGACAGGTTGAAGAAGCGGGGATGGAACCAGTAAAGGTGAGTGTAGGTGGGGAGTTAGGGAGGGGATAGGTCAGTCCAGGGAGGACGGACAGGTCAAGGGGTCGGGATGAGGTTAGTAGGTAGGAGATGGGGGTGCAGCTTGAGGCGGGAGGAGGGGATAGGTTGGAGGAAGAACAAGTTAGGGAGGCAGGGACAAGCTGGGCTGGTTTTGGGATGCGGTAGGGGGAGGGGAGATTTTGAAGCTTGTGAAATCCACATTGATACCATTGGGCTGCAGAATTCCCAAGCGGAATATGAGTTGCTGTTCCTGCAATCTTCGGGTGGCATCGTTGTGGCACTGCAGGAGGCCCAGGATGGACATGTCGTCTGAGGAATGGGAGGGAGAGTTGAAATGGTTTGCGACTGGGAGGTGCAGTTGTTTATTGCGAACGGAGCGTAGGTGTTCTGCAAAGCGGTCCCCAAGCCTCCGCTTGGTTTCCCCGATGTAGAGGAGGCCACACCGAGTACAGCGGATGCAGTATACCACATTGGCAGATGTGCAGATGAACATCCGCTTGATGTGGAAAGTCTTCTTGGGGACTGGGATGGGAGTGAGGGAGGAGGTATGGGGGCAGGTGTAGCACTTCCTGCAGTTGCAGGGAAAAGTGCCGGGTGTGGTGGAGCTGGAGGGGAGTGTGGAGCGGACAAGGGAGTCACGGAGAGAGTGGTCCCTCCGGAAAGCAGATAAGGGTGGGGAGGGAAAGATGTCTTTGGTGGTGGGGTCAGATTGCAGATGGCGGAGGTGTCGGAGGATGATGCGTTGGATCCAGAGGTTGGTGGGGTGGTACGTGAGGATGAGGGGGATTCTTTTTTTGGTTCTTATTGCGGGGACGGGGTGTGAGGGATGAGTTGCGGGAAATGTGGGAGACACGGTTGAGGGTGTTCTCGACCACTGAGTGGGGGGGAAGTTGCGGTCCTTGAAAAACGAGGACAACTGAGATGTACAGGAGTGGAATGCCTCATCCTGGGAGCAGATGCGGCGGAGGTGTAGGAATTGGGAATAGGGGATGGCTTTTTTGCAGGAAGGTGGGTGGGAGGAGGAGTATTCTAGGTAGCTGTGGGAGTCGGTGGGCTTGAAATGGATATCAGTTTCTAGGTGGTTGCCCGAGATGGAGACAGAGGTGTCCAGGAATGGGAGAGAGGTATTAGAGATGGTCCAGGTGAACTTAAGGTTGGGGTGGAAGGTTTTGGTGAAGTGGATGAACTGTTCGAGCTCCTCGGAGGAAGAGGTGGGGTTTAGGGCCAGTGTAGGTATGGAAGAGGGATTGTTCCACGTAACCTACAAAGAGGCAGGCGTAGCTTGGGCCCATGCGGGTACCCATGGCCACCCCCTTTGTCTGTAGGAAGTGGGAGGAATTGAAAGAGAAGTTGTTGAGGGTGAGGACGAGTTCGGCTAAGCGGATGAGGGTGTCAGTGGAGGGGGACGAGTCGGGCCTGCGGGACAGGAAGAAGCAGAGGGCCTTTAGGCCATCTGTATGGGGAATGCAACTGTATAGTGACTGGACATCCATGGTGAAGCTGAGGTGTTGGGGACCGGGGAATTGGAAGTTCTGGAGGAGGTGGAGGGTGTGGGTGGTGTCACGGACGTAGGTAGGGAGTTCCTGGACCAAGGGAGAGAAAATGGAGTCCAGATAGTTGGAGATCAGTTTGGTGGGGCAGGAGCAGGCGGAGACAATGGGTCGACCAGGGCATTCAGGTTTGTGGATTTTGGGAAGGAGATAGAAGCAGGCGGTGCGGGGTTGGGGAACAATGAGGTTGGAGGCCGTGGGTGGGAGATCACCTGAGGTGATGAGGTTGTGGATGGTTTGGGAGATGATGGTTTGGTGCTCAGGGGTGGGGTCATGATCAAGGGGGCGGTAGGAGGAGGTGTCGGAGAGTTGGCGTCTGGCCTCAGCGATGTAGAGGTCAGTGTGCCATACGACAACTGCGCCTCCCTTGTCCGCGGGTTTCATGGTGAGGTTGGGATGGGAGTGGAGGGCTGCACGTTCTGCGGGAGAGAGGTTGGAGTGGGTGAGAAGGGTGGAGAGGTTGAGGCGATTGATGTCTCGACAGCATTTGGAGATGAAGAGGTCAAGGGAGGGTAGGAGGCCTTGGGGTGGTGTCCAGGAGGAGGGGGTGTGTTGGAGGTGGGAGAAGGGGTCAGGAGAGGGAGGGTTAGGTTCACGGTTGAAGAAGTAAGGATTTCACAAGCTTCAAAATCTCCCTTCCCCCTACCGCATCCCAAAACCAGCCCAGCTCGTCCCCGCCTCCCTAACCTGTTCTTCCTCCCACCTATCCCCTCTTTCCCACCCCCATCTCCTACCTACTAACCTCATCCTGCCCCCTTGACCTGTCCGTCCTCCCTGGACTGACCTATCCCCTCCCTAACTCCCCACCTACACTCACCTTTACTGGCTCCATCCCCGCCTCTTCGACCTGTCTGTTTCCTCTCCACCTATCCTCTCCTCTATCCATCTTCTATCCGCCTCCCCCTCTCTCCCTATTTATTTCAGAACCCCCTTCCCCTCCCCCATTTCTGATGAAGGGTCTAGGCCCGAAACGTCAGCCTTTCTGCTCCTGTGATGCTGCTTGTCCTGCTGTGTTCATCCAGCTCTGCACTTAGCTATCACATCTTTTTGAACTTGCCCCCTTTTTGCCTTAAACTATGTCCCCTTGTAATTGATATTTCTAATTCTGTTATGCTTGTAAGAATTCTGTTCATTTCAGTAAGGTCCCCTCACTTTTCTATATGTTCCAATGAATACGGTACCGATCTATTCAACCCCTCCTTATCAGAGTTACTTCAGACCTGGTATCAGCCTGATAATGAATCTTCTCTGGGTTGATCCAATGCCAGCATATCTTCCCTTAGATAAGGGACCAAACTTTTACAGTATTCTGGCTGTGGTCCAATTTTAGCAAAACCACCTACTTTTATACTTATTCCGTTTGAAATAAAGGCTAACATCATTTGCCTTTCTGATTACCTGCTGAACTTGGATACTCGTGTTTTTTTTTGGGACTCATAGATGAGGATTCCCAAACTTTCTTTGGTCATTCCACAATTAAATGGTATTCTCTCCTCTCTTTTTTCCTGCCAAAGTGCATAGACTGACAGTTCTTCACGTTATATCCCATCTTCCAAATTTTTTCCCATTCACTTAGCCTGTCTATAACTCTCAATGTTCTGTCACCCTGACTACTTGCCTTCTCGCCAATTTCTGAATCATCTGCAAACTTGGTTATAGTAAATTTTCATCTTCCTCATCTAAATCACTTAATATAATATTGTAAATAATTGTTGCCTCAGCCCTGATCCCTGTGACATACTGTTAGTGTTTTTTTGTTGAGGAGATGACAAAGATGATTGAGGGGAAAATGGTTGTTGATGTCTACATGGACTTCAGTAAAGCTTTTGACAAAGTCCCTTATGGCAGCCTAGAGCAAAAGGTGAAGGCACGTAGTATCAGAGGTGAGCTGGCAAGATGGATACAGAACTGGCTTAGGAGACAGAAGATAGCAGTGGAAGGATACTTTTTGGAGTAGAGGGTTGTGACTAGTGGTGTTCTACAGGGATCAATGCTGGCACCACTGCTGTTTGTGATCTACATAAATAATTTGGAGGAAAATGTAGCTGGTCTAATTAAGTTTGCAGACAATACAAAGATTGGTGAAGTTGCAGATAGTGAGGAGAATTGTCAGAGGATACAGCAGTATATAGATCAGTTGGAGGCATGGGCAAAAAAAGTGGCAGATGGAGTTTAATGTGGACAAATGTGAGGGGATGCATTTTGGAAGGTCAAGTACAGGTGGAAATTACGCAGTGGATGGCAGAACCCTTAGGAGTTTTTGTGTGCAAGTCCACAGATCACTGAATGCAGCAGCACAGGTAGATAAGGTAGTAAAAAACACCTATGGCACACACGCCTTCATTGAAAGGGGCATTAAGCATAAGGATAGACAAGTTATGCTGCAGCTTTGCAGAACTTTAGTTAGGCCAAACTTGGAATATTGCGTACAGTTCTGGTCACCACACTACCAGAAGGATGTGGATGCTTTGGAGAGGGTAGAGAAAAGGTTTACCAGGATGTTGCCTAGTATGGGGGATTTTAGCTATGAAGACAGGTTGGATAGACTGATTTTGTTTTCCCTGGAACACAGGAGGTTGCGGGGGTGACCTAGTAGAAGTTTATAAGATTGTGAATGGCATGGATAGAATGGAAAGTATGAGGCTTTTCCCAGGGCGGAGGGGTCAGTCCCTCGGGGACACAGGTTCAAGGTGTGGGGTTGGGAGGAGTTTAAAAGAGTGTGTGAAAAACTTGCCTCACACATAAGGATGTAGGTGCCTAGAATGTGCTGCCAGAGGAGGTGGTGGAAGCAGACACAATAGCAGCATTCAAGAAACACCTGGACGAATACATGAATGGGAAGGGAATAGAGGGATATGGATCCGGGAAGGGAATAGAGGGATATGGATCCTGTAAGTGAAGACTGTTTTAATATGGAAGGGC